TGAACTATATATGTCCATCAACCTAGATGTCCACTGAAAGATGAGTGGATAAAGAAGTTGTGGTACATATATACAATGGAATATCACTGAACCATAAAAAGGAATGCATTTCACTCAGTTTTAATGAGGTGGATGAACCTAAAGACTATTATACAGAGTGAAGCAAGTTAGGAAGTGAAAAAAGTATATCATATATGAATGTATATATACGGAATCTGGAAGAAAGTATTGATGAACCCATTTACAAAGAAATGGAAATGCAGACATAGAGGACGGACTTATGGACACAGCAGGGGAAGGAGAGGCTAGGAGAAATTGAGATAGTAGCATTGACATATATACACTATCACGTGTAAAATAGATCACTAGTGGGAAGCTGTTGTATAACACAGGAGTCCAGCCTTGCACTCTGTGATGACCTAGAGGGGTGGAATGGTGGGGGGGTGGGGAGGCTCGAGAGAGAGGGGTTATACATATACAATTATGACTTATTTGCATTGATGTAAGGCAGAGATCACACAACACTGTAAAACTATCATCCTCCAATTAAAACAATAAAATAGTTGAATAGTTGATTTACAGTGTTTCCTTAGTTTCAGAGGGCTTCCCTGGTGGCTGAGATGTTTAAGAATCTGCCTGCAATGCAGGAGACCCAGGTTCAATCCCTGGATGGGAAGATCCCCTGGAGGAGGGCATGGCAACCCACTCCAGTATTCTTGCCTGGAGAATTCCCTTGGACAGAGGAGCCTGATAGGCTACAGTCCATAGGGTCACAAAGAGTCAGACACAACTGAAGCAACTTAGCATGCACACACGTTAGTTTCAGATATACAGCAAAGTATGAAATTTTTTTTAACATCTCCGAGCCTCCTGGGATTTTCTAGCTACCTAAAAGATTTTCTTGCCTTTTTTCCTGGCATATGGACTGAAGGAGAAATGGAATTTCCATACTCCTGTATAATGATTAAGATACACCCTTATAAAGCTTCCAAAACACCTACCTGAGTGAGCTGATAGATATGGAGGTTTTGAGAAGTTGCCACTGAAAGGACGAGAGAGAAGTCAGAAGGGTGGAGAGACCAGTGTGTCCAGAAGACCTCAGACATGACTGAATTGAACTGAAAAGACCTATGTGGCTACGTGAAGGCCCCTTAAGTTAAGGATAGGCTGGGAGATGGTGCTGCGGTGTCCATGAGTGTACTTAACTCTGTGCCCAAGTGCAGCAGCTCTGGAGCCCGGAGACAACGGCAGCCCCCACAATGGGTTCAGAACTGCTTCTTATAGCCCAGGTCAAGCTGCATCTCAGCGTTCTGTAGCCTTGACCTGGCCGTGGGTAGAGATCGCTGTACTGAGCAGGGAAAGATACCCTGCAGACGCATATGAAGGACTTTCAAGCTCAAAGCAGAGAAAAGAATGGGAGAAACACACCCTGAGCAGATATCAAATAATACTTCAGCAACACCCACAAACTCCTGAGGGGGAATTTTTTCTGAGAACTAAGAAAGAGGAAGGAAGACAGTCTGAGATCCTGTGGTTCAAACCTAGATAAGGAAACTGAGCCAACCCATATTTGTAGCCAACGCAGACGAAGCTTGAGAGTTTCAAATTACATGAAAACTGGGTGATTTTTATCAATGTTGGACAATGTTGGGTAAGATTTCAGGAGATGGAATATTGACTATAAAGAAGTGAGATGCTTGTGTGCTAAGTCACTTCAGTCGTGTCCAACTCTTTGTGACCTTATGGACTGTAGCTCGCCAGGATCTTCTGTCCCTGGGATTCTCCAGGCAAGAATACTGGAGTGGGTTTCCGTTCCCTCCTCCAGATCTTCCCGACTCAGGGATGGAAGTCACGTCTCATGTCTCCTGCATTGGCAGGTAGTTTCCTTATCACTAGCGCCACCTGGGGGTAAAAATAGCAAATAGCATTGGGTGCTGTACCTTACAGAACTGCAAAAGAGAAGACGTGCTCCATCCCAAGAAAAGCATTAGTAATGTCTCCTTCTGCTGCTTTTCCTACTTTTTAAAAGATGAAAACACTTTATCAAAAATGTATTTGGAAGTATAAAAGCCCTGAAGTCTAATCACATATTTAATATCTTGTAGCAATCTTTAAAGTGGTAGTTGCTCAGTTGTGTCTGAATCTTTGCGTGTCCAACTCTTTGAGACCCCATGGAGTATAGTCCACCAGGCTCCTCTGTCCATGGAATTTTCCAGGTAAGAACACTGGAGTGGGTAGCCATTCCCTTCTCCAGGGGATCTTCCCAACCCAGGAATCAAATCTAGGCCTCCTGCATTTGCAGGTGGATTCTTTACTGTCTGAGTCAAGTATAGTCAAAGCTATGGTTTTTCCAGTAGTCATGGGTGGATGTGAGAGTTGGACCATAAAGAAGACTGAGCACCAAAGAAGTGATGCTTTTGAACTATGGTGCTGGAGAAGACCCTCCAGAGCCCCTTGTACACAAGGAAATCAATCCAGTCAATGCTAAGAGAAATCAACATTGAATATTCATTGGAAGGATGGTGCTAAAGCTACGGCTCCAAGACTTTGGCCAGCCATCTCATTGGGCAGGACCCTGATGCGGGGGAAAATGGAGGGCAGGAGGAGAAGGAGGCGATGGAGGATGAGATGGTCGGACAGCATCATCGGCTCAATGGACATGAGTTTGAGCAAACTCTGGGAGATAATGAAGGATGGGGAAGCCTGGAGTGCCACAGTCCATGGGGTTGCAGAGTCAGACACGACGGAGCGACTGAACAACAACAAAATAACCTATAATGGAAAATAATCTGAAAAATAATATATATATATATATAAATTTGATGTATACCTGAAATTAACACATTTTAAAAACTTTTAATTTTGTATGGGATATAGCTAGTTCACAATGTTCTGATAGCGTCAGGTGAATAGTGAAGGGACTCAGCCATATGTATACAAGCATACATTCTCCCCCAAACTGTCCTCCCCCCTAGGCATGGAGCAGAGCTCCATGTGACACATTTTAAATCAACTATACTTCAATTGAAAAAAAAAAAAAACCCACGTTGCATTCTAGTCTCGATAAAGCCCAATGGAAAATGAGGCCGATGAATCTGTTTGCAGGGCAGGAATGAAGACGCCCTCGTAGAGAACAGACTTGTGGACGCAGGGCGGGAAGGAGAGGGTGAGATGAGTTGAGAGCGTAACACTGGCATATATACACTCTCCTGTGTAAATAGCTAGCTAGTGGGAAGCTGCTGTAAGCACAGGGAACTCAACTCGGAGCTCTGTGATGACCTAGGAGGGTGGGATGGGGGGAGCTGGGAGGGTGGCTCAGGAGGGAAGCGATACACATAGAGCTGATTCCCAAGGTTGTACAGCAGAAATCAACACAGCATTGTAAAGAAGTTAGACTCCAACTAAAAATAAATTTAAAAGATCATTTAAAAAGTCAAATGGTACGGTAAGCAATCTCTAAGATCTTTCAGAAAGGGAAAGGTTTCATCAGAATGTCTTAGAAGCTTGGAACATCATTTGAAATAAACATCTTTTTAGTGCAGTTCAGAATCTCGTTAGAATGAGCTCCAAACACATATCTAAATGCGAATACAAGTTCTTCTGTCGTGTTTGCTGGTCATGAGGATGGGCAGTCGCTATTATTGTTGGCATGTCTCCCTGGGTCAGTTGTCTGCCCTCTTCTCCTGAAAATGCTCAGTCGTGTCCGACTCTTTGGGATCCCATGGACTGTAGCCTGCCAGGCTCCTCTGTTCATGGGATTCTCCAGGCAAGGATACTGGAATGGGTTGCCATTCCCTTCTCCAGGGGATTTCCCAACCAGAGATCAAACCTGTGTCTCCATCATTGCAGGCATTCCCATTCTAGCTACGGGATTCTTTACTGTCTCAGCCCCCAGCCCTACAATGTTCTGCTGGAAATTGGTCTCCATGAAGCAGGAGCTGTTAAACATCTTCCCATCACAGTGGGGGCAGCACACAGCCAGTAATTGACTGATAGAGAATTTTAAAAAATGGCTGCTTCCCTTGTGTCAAAATGGAATGAGGCTGAGATACAGTTCATGGAAGTAAATTCCAGTCAAGACTGTAAACTGGCCTGGCTCCTTCTATTCGTCTTGTTTCCTTCACTTTTTCTCTCTTTTCAGAGCATTCTGTCAATAAACCATGAGCACCAAAATCACCCCTCCCATGTTCTGCTTTTAGGGAACCTGACTTAAGTCGCCTGTTGTTATTTTAGAAATAGTAGAGTTCAGTGCAAAACAGTGTGGAGCTTCCTCAAAAAAAAAAAAAAAAACCTAGAAACAGAGTGATCATATGATCCAGCAATCCTACTCCCAGACATATATCAGGGAAAGATGAAAAGTCTAATTTGAAAAGGTACATGCACCCTAATGTTCATAGCAGCACTGTTTACAAAATAGCCAAGACATGGAAACAATCTAAATGGCCATGGACAGAGAAATGGATAAAGAAGATGTGGTAAGCATATACAATGGAATATTACTTGGCCACTAAAAAGAGTGAAATAATGCCATTTGCCACAAAACGGATGAACCTTGCTATACTAAATGAAGTAAGTCAGACAGAGAAGGATAAATATCATATGACACCCCTTATATATGGAATCTAACAAGAAATGATACAAATTAACTTCTGTTCAAAACAGAAAGAGACTCACAGACTTAGAGAATGAACTTATGGCTGCCAGGGGGGAGTATGTGATGGACATGTTACACTGCTGTATTTAAAATGGGTAACCAACAAGGACCTACGGTATAGCACAGAGAACTCTGCTCAGGGTTAAGTGGCAGCCTGGATGGGAGAAGAGTTTGAGGGAGAATGGATACATGTGTGTGTCTGTGGCTGAGTCCCTTTGATGTTCACCTGAAACTATCACAACAGTGTTTGTTAATCGGCCATACCCCAGTACCGGGGGGGGGGGGGGGGGCGGTGCGGAGTTTTAAAAAGAGCTGAAGGGGTCTTCATTGAAAAGCAAGCCAGCCAGTCAGAAAACAAATCATTTATTTAGGGCTACTCTGTGTGTGAAGCATGTGATAGAAGCTGGAGAGGCATGCTTAAAGCCACACATCAATGGACTTAGGACAAATCAAAGTGGTAGCCAGAAGTCCTTGGTCCTGCCATTGCACTGCAGTCTGTTATCTCCACAAAACTCTGAAAAGTCAGAGATGCAGAAAACGGAAGATAAAATGGTAAGCTGGAACAGAAGCTCTTCTTTTCTCACCAGGGCAGGAAGCCATGGGAAGACCACCCCACCCAATCATCCATAATCCAAATTGCCCAGAGAGTTCTAGGGCTGGCGAGATACTGCATTTCCACACTAAGCTGAGAACAGATTTCAGAGAAGGCTTCTGCAGGCACCTGCTTTCCTGAGATGTTGTTCCATTGTGTATTTGAAAGCAAGAAGGGACTTCAACCCTGTGAGAGAAATCAGAGTCAGAATCAATGGCAGGATTAGTACAATTTGAACTCAGGGATCATATGTATGTGGGCACAGGTCTTACAAATACAGGCAGAGATAAACATGGCAACAAAAACTAGAAGGATAAACATTAAAATGTGAACAATGATTACCTCCAGTGTGGCAGGCACTGTTGACAAACTCAAAAGCTAATCTCAGCCTCTTGACTATTGATGTTTCCATTCTAGAAGCTAGAAATACTTGTTTTGTCAAATTTCTCTGTAACTATGAGTGTTCATGTGATACAGTTCTGATCAATTAGGTGAAAGGGAAATCCACTAAGGGGCTTCTGGAAAAGCTTTTGTTTCTCGTTGAAGAGAGAGGGTTGAAAGGTGAGTTTGCCACTCTGTCCCATCATTCTTCTTCCTGCCTTGAACATGGTCATGATGACTGGAGCTATGGCAGCCACCTTGTAACCATGAAAATAATTGATGAAAAGTCAGCATGTTATTGGTCAGATGGAAAACTAGGAAGAGTTTAGATCCTTAGCAACCTTACTAAGCAACAGAACCAATACCAGAAACGCCTAACTCTGAGCTTCTATTCTTGCGATAAAAATAATTTCCTATTAATTTAAGCCACTGGATCATACTCTGGTTTCTCTTCAGATCGTATAAATCTTTTGCCTTTTAAGCCACTGGATCTTAGTTACTTGTTCTTGGAATACATCAGAGGGGAAAAATAATAAGACATTCTGGTAGGAGATGTAGGACCACAAAAGATAAATGCAAATAAATAAGGAAATTATAGTGTTAGAAAGTAGAAAGTACTGAAAAGAAAATCAGGATAAGGGTGTGGGACAAGCATGAATACCTGGGTGGGTGAATAGGAAGCTGCACAAAATGGAGTTATCAGAGGAAATTCTATTGAAAAGAAATGACTGGAACAGAGATTTGAAGGAAGTGAGGGAGTTGTCTATGTGGGTGCCAGGACAAAAACATTCAAGGCATTCAAGAACATTCAGTTCAAGACTCCAAAGGAGGAACTGAGCCTGGCATGTCTAAAGAATCTTGAGCAGTCCAGTGTGGGTGGAGCAGAGTGAAATGAGGGGTCTGTTAGTAGATGACAGGACAGGAAGGAAAAGAGAGTTAGATCAGACAAGGTCCTGTGGGCCACAAGGAGGACGTTGACTTTGACTCTGAATAAGGTGGGAGCCATGGAGTGCTGTAGGTAGAGAAGGGAAGATATCTGACTTGGTTGTTCACGAGCACCCTCCGGTTGCTACAAGGAGAACCGAGCAAGATAAGGCAGGGAAAAGATTAGAGAGGCAGCAAGGTAGACTTCTTTTGAGCTTATTTCCATCATTGTGGATAGAGACAATAGGACTTGGACCACAGTAGAAGGAATGAAGGGAAAAAGAAGCAACCAGATTCTAGATCTATTTTGAGGAAGAGTCAGCAGGATTTGCTGAGCGAGCAGAGATGAGGGAAGGGGAGAGAAAAGCAGAGTCAAGCAGAGTCAATGTTAATTTCACAACTTCACTCTTGAACAATAGAAAAATAGAGGACCCTCTGTGGAAATGAGAGGTGGGGGAATCTGATGATGTGACATATTCCAAGTGAGAAGCTCATTTGGGACAGGCTACCTCTGAAATATCCATTAGATATCTAAGTAGGCATTTGGTAGGTGGTAGGTTATACGAGTATATAATTCAGGAGACAAGGCTGGACAGCACATTATTTAAATTTTGGGAGTCATTGCTGATAGGTGGTGGTATAGCCATGAGACTGGATGAGATCCACTGTGTAGAAGATCCAGTGTGCACTTTGATGGAAAATGATGTGTTGTCAGGGGATACCTCCTCCCCTCCAGGTTATCTGGCTCTGATCTATAGTGGAACTACTTTACAATTTTATCAGTTTTAAACAGCTGACAGTGATGGGAAACCATTTCATGGAAAAAATAGTTTTGCCTCTAATTGTGCATTCATTTTGATATTATTGAGATTATATATGTATCATAATTAATATATTAATACATAAATAAACACATTATGAATTTTATGTGTTATGTAATATAAATGATTCTATATAACTTCTGAATATTTACATTATATGTACATTATATATATTAAATAATATGAATAATTATATATAATGTCTATATATTTAAATTCTTATGTACAATTTATATATAATATAAATTTATATTTATATAGTACATAATTTGAAATGCATATGTTATACAATATGAATAATTACATATACAAAGTCTGTATATAGAATTATATGTATAATTTATATGTTACATATAAAATTTTTATATAATATATGTATTATATATTATACTTATATATATTTGTACTTATACCCTCTTACACTGTTGGTGGGAATGCAAANATAAATATAAATATATAAATATCAAATATATACTAAATATATAATAATTATAATAATATAATATAATACATTAATATATGTTAATATACTTATATATTATACTTATATATATTAATATATATTATATATTATACTTATATATACTTATAGCAGACTATAGTCCATGGAGTCACAAAGAGTGGGACATGCCTTAGCAACTAAACAACAATAACAAATATAAAATTTATATATTATAATATGAATAATTAGATGCAATATCTATTTACAATTACGTATATATAATTATATGATATATAGATATGTTATATTATATATATTACATTTATTTACCAATGAGGAAACCAGGCAGATGTTATAACTGGTTCAAAAGACAACATAAAGAGCATACATATATATAAATTAAAAGTAGAGTAATACTATGTATTATGTATACATTGTGAACATTGTATACATTATGAGCACTATGCATTATGTATACATTGTATATATTATATGTGTGACGTAATACACAGACATGTCTGTTCTTTGCATTCTCTGGTGAGCCAGTTACAACATCTCTTCATTCCTTCAATGATTAATAAGCAGAATAAAATCCTTAACATATGCTTATTTCATATCCACGAGTCATGATTTTATCTTTTCAAGTTTGCACAGCTACTGAAGCACAGAGCTGGGATTTAAACCCAGGCAGCCTAGTTCCCCAATCCCCACTTTTAAATACCACAGTTTATCAAATGAGTCAATACACATGAATGTCAAAGCTATGGTTTTTCCAGTAGCCATATACGGATACGAGAGTTGGACCATAAAGAAGGCTGAGCACCAAAAAATTGATGCTTTTGAATTGTGGGGGTGGTGGTTTAGTCGTTCAGTCATGTCTGACTCTTGCGACCCCACAGACTGCAGCCCACCAGGCTCCTCTGTCCATGGAACCCTCGAGGCAAGAACACAGGAGTGGGTTGCCATTTCCTTCTCTGCTTTTGAACTGTAGCTCTAGAGAAAACTCTTAAGAGTCCCTTGGACAGCAAGGAGATCAAACCAGTCAATCCTAAAGGAAACCAACCCCGACTATTCATTGCAAGGACTGATGCTGAAGCTGAAGCTCCAGTACTTTGGCCACCTGATGGGAGGAGTCAACTCACTGCAAAAGACCCTGATGCTAGGAAAAATTGAGGGCAGTAGGAGAAGGGGACAACATAAGATGAGATGGTTGGATGGTTATCACCAACTCAATGGACGTAAGTCTGAGCAAACTCTGAGAGATAGTGAAGGACAGGAAAGCCTGTTGTGCTGCAGTCCACAGGGTCACAAAGAGTTGGACACAAATGAGTGACTGAATAACAACAAATGCTTAGCTTATAGCAGGTACTCAACACATAACACTTGGTCTGACCAGAACATGCAGACAACACACAATCTCTCACCGTTTTGGAAGTGGAGGGAACGGATGACAGTAAGATCCCTGAGGTCTGGGTCTCAGAGCTGGGTTTAGTCTTCCTGGTCATGCATCTTCTGTATTCTTCACGTACCTGAAGGTGGATGCACGCCATGGGGAGATGACACACTCTTAGATACAGGAGGAGTGTATGTGGCAGGGGCAATCTCCCTGGGAAGGACTGGGGCTGGGAGGGCAGCAGGTACACACCTGGCGGTTGAGCAGGCAATGAATGAGGAAGATGAAGGCCCCCTGCAAGCTGTTGATGACGGTGAAGAGATAAGCCATGATATTGGCCACGGGTCCAATCTGGAAAATGCCCAACACCCAGGAGCACCCCAAGATGAAGATCTGAGCAAAGGCTTTGAAGGTCAGATGAGCAAACTCTGAGAGATAGTGAAGGACAGGAAAGCCTGTTGTGCTGCAGTCCACAGGGTCACAAAGAGTTGGACACAAATGAGTGACTGAATAACAACAAATGCTTAGCTTATAGCAGGTACTCAACACATAACACTTGGTCTGACCAGAACATGCAGACAACACACAATCTCTCACCGTTTTGGAAGTGGAGGGAACGGATGACAGTAAGATCCCTGAGGTCTGGGTCTCAGAGCTGGGTTTAGTCTTCCTGGTCATGCATCTTCTGTATTCTTCACGTACCTGAAGGTGGATGCACACCATGGGGAGATGACACACTCTTAGATACAGGAGGAGTGTATGTGGCAGGGAAGGACTGGGGCTGGGAGGGCAGCAGGTACACACCTGGCGGTTGAGCAGGCAATGAATGAGGAAGATGAAGGCCCCCTGCAAGCTGTTGATGACGGTGAAGAGATAAGCCATGATATTGGCCACGGGTCCAATCTGGAAAATGCCCAACACCCAGGAGCACCCCAAGATGAAGATCTGAGCAAAGGCTTTGAAGGTCAGCAACCTGGAGGGGAAGATTTGCAGAGGATATAGTTCTGGCTGTCATCCTCATGGGCCACCATGTTCCCAGGTATAGTCTGAGGTTGCCACCATGTGACCCATCACCTGGGTAAGAATAAATGTGGAACACAGGTTTCCAAGCCTAGAGGTAGGGAAGTCAAATCCTACAGCCATTGAAAAGGCAATTGGCCTACAGATACACATGGTCACAAAGATGTGTGGACACATGTATTTAATGCAATATTGTCGATGGTAATAAAAGGCTAGACATAAAGTAGCCAAGCCATGGAAGCAACCTAAATGGTCATCAGCAGATGGATGCATAAAGAAGACATGGTACATATAGACAATGGAATATTACACGGCCCTGAAAAAGGATGAAATAATGCCATTTGCAGCAACATGGATGGACCTAGAGATGATCATACTAAGTGAAGTAAGTCAGACAGAGAAAGACAAATAACATATGATATCACTTGTATGGGGAATTTGAAATATGGCACAAATGAAGCTATCTAAAAAACAAACAAACAAACTCACAGACACAGAGAACAGACTTGTGGTTACCAAGGGGGAGGGGGTGTGGGGGAGGGGTGAACTGAGAGTTTGGAGTTGGTGTGTGTGTTCACTCACTCAGTGGGGTCTGACTCTTTGTGACCCCATGGGCTGCAGCCTGCCAGGCTCCTCTGTCTATGGAATTCTTCAGGCAAGAATACTAGAGTGCTCTTCTCTGGGGGATCTTCCCAACCCAGGGATCAAACTCAGGTCTTCCACATTGCAGGTGGATTCTTTACCATCTGAGCTACCAGATCATTTAAATAAACTGTGTTCCATCCTTACACTGAAACACTATATCTTAAAAAAGGTATTGTCAACAGATTTTAGTATTGGAATAACTCGTTCCTCCTAGCAATGATGCTAAGGCATGCTTCACGTGCCTTCCTGATCTAGACACTGGGCTATATTCCATTTGGAGTGTGGGACCAGGCTTACAAAAGGTACTCAGTGAATATTTGGGGAAAGAAGGAAAGGAGACAAGAAGATGAGGGGAAAGGGAGGCTGGACTGTACCTGGTGTCTTTGAGTGTGGAGACTTCCGCACTGACACTAGAAAGCTTCTGCCTCAGGATACATAGTGTCCAAGTCAGGAGGATGGAGTTGACCTACAGAGCCAAGAAGGGATGGAAAGTCTGGATATACAAATGGATGATGGCCAGCCCATTTATGAAAAGAGAACTTTGATCTATAGTCTGCAGTAACCACTCCAGGAAGCCCAAACAATAACTCCTTCCGCAACCAACCCCAGAGGATTAGGACTTGACTGATAATTGACAGCCTCCCTCATTTCTACGTCTGCTTCCAACTTAGGACCAAAAGAAGAAAGCCAGTATGTAACCCTTACCGATTACTTAGGATGCCCTGCATTTAGTCAGCCTACCTGTAGAGTCCTTGTGTCAACAGCCTCTGAGCAACGCATACCTGAAGCCTTCCCTTTTTTCTCTATAAAACTTTCCCACTCATCTGCCTATTTTTGAGTCTCTGACAAAAGCAAGTGATTTGACAAATGAAAGTGGCTGAGTCCCTTACCACGTGTGTTAGTGCTCAGACGTGTCCGACTCTTTGCAACCCCATGGACTGTAGCCCGCCAGGCTTCTCTGTCCATAGGATTCTCCAGGCAAGAATACTGGAGTGGGTTGCCATGCCCTCCTCCAGGTGATCTTCCCGACCCAGGGATTGAATCCACTTTTCTTACATCTCCTGCATTGGCAGGCACGTTCTTTACCACAAAGCGCACCTGGGAAGCCCTGGGTCTCTTTGATCCTCCTCCAAAACACACCAAACCAAGCAATCAGCTTACCACTATAATTGTGCACACTGGCCCCAGGAAGCTCCAGATGAACCCTGTTTCTGTATTCAGCCAGCAGCTATGAAGAAAAACAGGAGTCAGTCATTGTATCCAAGTCCCAACCCTCAAATGACTCATGCCCTGCCAGATATGCTTATGGAAGAGTATTGGAGGATGAGGTTGAAGTGAAAATTTTCTTTCAGACCTTCTTCCTTAGTGAACGTTCCTGAAATGTTCTCTTAATGCCTGGGATAGAGATCATTTATCAGTTCATAACCTTTGTACTCTCTCTCTCCAGAACTCTCCACAGTACACTTTGTCATTCAGCTCAAATATCACCTCCTCTCAAAAGTCACACTGTGTCTGGTCCTTTCCTAGCAGAATTTGCTGCTTTTTTTTTCATAACATCTATCAGTATCATAAATTATCTTGCTCAGTTGTTTGTTTACATTGTCTATCTTTCCCTACTAGACTATGAGCTGCAGGAGAATTTGGACTTTGAATGTTTTGTTTATCTCTGAATACCCATCACTTAGTGCAAAGCCTGGCATGGATGAGGCATTCTGTAATTATTTGTTAATAGAAATGAAGAGAGAAATGGAGTGTTTCCTGACATATCAGTAAACAAGGATGTCACAGCCATCAGCGATTGCAGTCCTCCAAAAGTGAATTTCTGAGCCTAGAGGGCGATCAGGAAAAACAATACCTGCTATCAGGCAGCCATAAACCACTCCCCTTAGTGAGCACTGAAGACCTAGGGGTGGGAATGTGAAAAACCAGGATATTGGCCCCAGATAGCTGGGATGCAAATAAAAAGAATGATTTTAGTGAGCCCAGACTTTGTTGACAAAGGTCCATATAGTGAAAGTTATGGTTTTTCCAGTAGTCATGTATGGCCCAAGAGTTGGACCATAAAGAAGGCTGAGCGCTGAAGAATTAATGCTTTTGTACTGTGGTGCTGGAGAAGACTCTTGAGAGTCTGTTGGACAGCAAGGGGATTAAACCAGTCAATCCTAAAGGAAATCAACCCTGAATATTCATTGGAAGGATTGATGTTGAAGTTGAAGCTCCAATACTTTGGCCACCTGATAAGAAGAGCTGACTCATTGGAAAAGACCCTGATGCTGGGAAAGATTGAGGGCAGGAGGAGAAGGGGGTGACAGAGGAGGAGATGGTTGACTGTCATCATTGACTCAATGGACATGAGTTTGAGTAAATTCCAGGAAATAGTGAAGGACAGGGAAACCTGGTGTGCTGCAGTCCATGGGGTCACAAAGAGTTGGACACGACTGAGCAACTGAACAACAACTGTAACTAGTATCTTCTCACATAGAACCTTTGATAAATCTACCTCACTTTATTTCATTATTTTTTCTTTTTTTGCATATTGTCACCGTGCTTATTTATTTATTTATTTATTTATTTTTCCATTTATTTTTATTAGTTGGAGGCTAATTACTTTACAACATTGCAGTGGTTTTTGTCATACATTGAAATGAATTAGCCATGGATTTACATGTATTCCCCATCCCGGTCCCCTCTCCCAACTCCCTCTCCACCCGATCCCTCTGGGTCTTCCCAGTGCACCAGGCC